AGAGAGAGAGAGAGAGAGACAGAGAAAGACAGACAGACACAGAGAGAGAGAATAAAATAAAAAGACAGGAGCTGTGATGGTCCTTCAGGTCAGAGGACACAACTTATTCGTCTGTCCACCAGTTGTCCTCTAATCAGTCCATCTAGTCTCTTCCTGTCAGCTGCTGTCTTCAAGACCCAGAGTGTTTAGCAGCGCCCCCTGTAGTGTCCTAAGCACATATTAATATGTCCAACGACCATATCTGAAGACAATCAGGGACGTGGACAATCCACATCTGGATCTATTAATCATCATCATTTTAAGAACAGGAAGCATTTGAGCAGACTTCGATCACCATGGTAACAGATGAAGCATCAGATCAATGTTCTGTCCTGTTTCGATAAAGTTAGTGTTGAAGTTACAGACGGAGGTTGTGTGTCAGCGTCTCTGCTGAAAACAGCTCACACTAAAAATACAGCGTCTAAAATAACCTGAAGGACTGGATCTGTCTTCACTGAATCAGACTTCGTGTTGACGTCAGAATTATTTCTATGTTTAATCTGTCGCCACGTTTGAAAAGCTCAATATAAGTTTTGTACCTGCGGGGTCGTGCCGTCCACAGAACAGTCGGGGCCCCGGTAACCACCTGACGGACCCTGTTGACGGCCCTGTACAGAAGTGACGATGACTCATCACAAAACGGATCTGTTGACATTAGGGATGTGTCATATTTATCGTCTACGATAATATCTTAATTGTTGTTTTAACGATGTTTGAGCTGACGTTATCAAGTATTGAGAATATCGAGTGTAGAGCCACCCGGAGCGAGCGCTCCTCTCCACCAGCGCCGTGAGGGAGGGAGAGAGGGGGAGAGAGAGCCAGGCACCTGGCACCAGCTCCACTGGCTGAGTCAGAGTGACTCCAGCCCGGGTAGAGCGAGCGCCCCTCTCCACCAGCCCAGTATTTGATGACAGTAAATCATTTTGCAGCATTCTAGAGATCACAGAGCCTTCTCTTTCATGGTGTGTCTCTCAGCCTTATCCCTCCCTCCCTCCCTCACTCTAACTCTCATTCACCCACTCGTCCCGGACAGAGAGCCTGGCCCGGCTCGATCGGCGGTCTAATTATCGTCAGTTGCTTGTTAATATCTCACACCCTGGTTGACGTTAGAGAACCTTCTGCTAATGTCTGTTCCTGTCTCAGCTTTAAAGATGAAGGAGAAGTCAAACAGCCAATACGAGTCCTTCCTCTTCTGGAGGCAGCCAATCCCAGCCCTCGATCTATCCGAGCTGGAGAATATGGGTTTGACTGACGGTCAGTCGACCAATAGCAGAAAAGGAAAAGACAAGCTGCCCAAACTGAGGCGTCAGGACGAGGAGGTGAGAGAGGACGTCTGAGCTTTGATTGTTTGATCACATGACTTCATGTATTTGGATTAATCTGCCAACGAGAATCACATTTTAAATGTCTTTGCAAAAGCACTTTGTTCTGCTGCCAGCAGGTGGAGCTGTGACTCACCTGTCACCAGGTTTGATCCAGGTCCGATGGTCGTGTTGACTCCGTCTTCTCTTCCTCTCTCCACAGACGAAGCTGCAGGAGTTTTCTTCCTTTAACTACTGGAGAGCTCCGATCGCTGACGTGGACACTCTGCTCGCCGACCTCAACCTGCTGCTGTGAGACCAGACCACCTGTCCCCTGATCCAAGACCACCTGTCCTCTGAACCCAGACCACCTGTCCTCTGATCCCACACCGCATGTCCTCTGATCCCAGACC